CCGCCCTTTTCCAGCAGTTCTTGGGGGGGGGGGCTGGTCACCAGACGGCCCCCCGTGGGGTGGGGGTGGTGCGGAATGACTGAGCCGGTCCCACACGGGTGCCCACTGGGCTCCGCTTGGCCCAGGGACAGCCGGCTCCACACTCCTTCCTTGGCCGCAGGTGCAACTGGTGGCCGCGTGGCAGGACTTGTGCCAGTCCGACCTTCCCTTGGACCGGCAGCTGATGGAGCTCTACGATGTGCTGCTGGGCACGTGGCACTCCCAGCTCCAGTGGGCCTCCCAGGTAGGTGGGGTTTCTGTGTGTGTGCCGGAGCCGCTGCTGTCTGAGCTGGGAGGGGGGCCGGCGGCGGTGGCATGGGGCGTCTGGTGTGTGTTGGGGGGGGTAGACGGAGGCTTGGCTGCTGCCCTGCCCCCGTTCATCTCTGAGGTGGCCCAGCTGGAGCTCTTGTCCGAGTTCCAGGCCCACCTTTCCTGTTCCGCCCTGGAGAACCCTTCCTGAGCAGGGTTTGCAAAATGCTACGCAGTCTCTAAAGACTGAGCACAAATCGGGAGGCTGTGTCAGGCTCAGTTCTCTCAAGGATCTGTCCCTCCCCCCCCGGGGGGGGGCCTGCACATTTCCTGTGCATCCATGGTCACGCCGTGCAAATTTGGAATCTGACGAGGAATCCTAAAAAGGGCTGCCTGTATGTTGTGTGTTTAGAAGGCAGTTTCTAGCCCCCGTGGGCTAGGTTTGACTGGAGACGTGTCCAGCGCTTCACTGCCCAAAGGAGTCTCAGAGGGGCTCACAAACTCCTTTCCCTTCCTCTCCCCACAACAGACACCCTGTGACCAGTGGTCCCTCTAAGCTGTGGAGTCTTGTGAGCAAAAATTCTACTTTGTGCACTACCAGCATTAAAGTTGTGAGTGAGCGATTTGGCTGCTGCATAAATCAGTTTGCTCTGGAGCCATCCTTCCTGAGCTAAGACCAAAAACTGTGAGCCAGAGGCTAAAAAAAGTGAGCTGGCTCACACTGACTCAGCTTAGAGGGAACATTGCCTGCTAGGTAGGCGGGGCTGAGAGAGCTCTGAGAGAACCGTGACTGATCCAAGGTCACCCAGCTGGCTTCCTGTGGAGGAGGACTGGGGAATCAAGCCCGGTTTTCCAGAATAGAGTCTGCCACTCTTAACCACGACACCAAACTGGCTCTCTAAGAGGCAGTGTTCTGTATCGCTGCTAAGGGCGGCGAGTATAAATTTGCAGACTCGCTTTAAATGGCATGTTGCATGTTGATACTCCTGGATGTGTCCTCCTCTCACGTTTTAACTTCTCAAATGTTTGCCGCCTTGTGGACCCTGATTGGGTGGGAAGGCAGCATAATTCTTTTTTTTTAAATAAAGTAGAAGAAGAGATTGGATTTATACCCCCCCCTTTCACTACCCGAAGGAGTCTCAGAGTGGCTTACAAACTCCTTTCCCTCCCCCTCCCTATAACAGGCACCCTGTGAGGGAGGTGGGGCTGAGAGAGCTCTGAGAAAACTACCCTTGAGAGAACAATGCCAAGAAAACTTGTGACTGACCCAAGGTCACAGCAGCAGATGCATGTGGAGGTGGGGAATCAAACCCGGTTCTCCCAGATTAGAGTCCACACTCCTAACCACCACACCAAACTGCCTCTCAAACAGAGTCCAGCCAGAAGGAGGAGGAGGAGATTGGATGTATACCCCTTGCCCTTCACTCGGAGCCCCAGAGCGCCTTACAAACTCCTTTCCCTTCCCCTCCCCACAACAGAGACCCCTGTGAGGTAGGCGGGGCTGAGAGAGCTCTTGACAGAAACTGCTCTTTTTCAAGTACAGCTCTTGTCAGAACTACGGCTTCCCCAAGGCCATCCAGCCAGGTGCAAGTGGAGGAGGAGTGGGGGAATCAAACCCGGTTCTCCCAGATTAGAGTTTGCGCACTTAACCACCATACCAAACTGGCTCTCAAACAGAGTCCAACCAGGACGAGGAGGAGGAGGAGATTGGATGTATACCCCTTGCCCTTCACTCGGAGTCTCAGAGCGGCTTACAAACTCCTTTCCCTTCCCCTCCCCACAACAGACACCCTGGGAGGTGGGTGGGGCTGAGAGAGCGCTTTCCAAAACTGCCCTTGAGAGGAGGAGGAGGAGAAGAAGAAGAGGAGGAGGAGGAGGAGATTGGATGTATACCCCTTGCCCTTCACTCGGAGTCTCAGAGCAGCTTACAAACCCCTTCCCCTTCCCTCCCCACAACAGACACCCCTGTGAGGTAGGCGGGGCTGAGAGAGCTCTTGACAGAAACGGCTCTTTTT